TGTACACCAACAACAAACTCAGTGAAAGAGAAACCAAAAAAGCAACCCCATTTATCATTGTGGCAAAAAAGTAAGATACTTAGGAATACACTTAACCAAAGAAGTAAAGGATCTGTTCACAAAAAACTACAAGACACTGAAAAAAGAAATAGAGGAAGATATTAAAAAGTGGAAGCATATATACCTTGCTCATGGATTGGAAGAATTAACATCATTAAAATGTCCATACTACCCAAAGCGATCTATATATTCAATGCAATCCCTATCAAAATACCAACGACATATTTCACAGAACTAGAACAAATACTCCAAAAGTTTATATGGAACGAAAAAAGAACCCGAATGCTACAGCAATCTTGAAAAAGAAGAACAAAGAATGAGGGATCACAATATCTGATATTAGGTTATACTACAAAGCCATAGTAATCAAAACAGCCTAGACTGGCACAAGAACAGGCATATAGATCAATGGAACAGAACAGAGAACCCAGAAATTGACCCAAGTTTTTATGCTCAATTAATATTTGACAAAGGTGGCAAGAGCACACAGTGGAGTAAAGACAGCCTCTTCAATAAATGGTGTTGGGAAAATCGGACAGCTAACGTAAAAAAAAATGAAGCTAGATGACCAACTTACACCATACACTAGAATAAACTCAAAATGGATAAAAGACTTAAATGTGATAAATGAATCTATAAAAATCCTAGAAGAAAATGTAGGCAACAAAATTTCAGATGCAGCAGAATTTTCACTGATACAATTCCTAAGGCAATAGCAACAAAGGGAAAAAAATGAACACATGGAACTACATCAAACTAAAAAGCTTCTGCACAGCAAAAGAAACAATCATCAAAATGGAAAGGGAACCCACTATATGGGAGGCCGTAATTGCCAATAATGCATCAGATAAGGGGTTAATTTCCAAAATATACAGAGTACTCATACAACTCAACAAAAGGAAGACAAAGAACCCAATTAAAAAGTGGGCAGAGGACCTAAATAGACACCTCTCCAAACAGGACATACAGATGGCCAAGAGACATATGAAAAAATGTTCAACGTCACTAATTATCAAAGAGATGCAAATAAAAACAATGAGGTATCACTTCACACCTGTCAGAATGGCCGCCATCAACAAATCATCAAACAACAAGTGTTGGTGAGGGTGTGGAGAAAATGGGACTCTAGTACACTGCTGGTGGGAATGCAGACTGGTACAGCCACTATGGAAAACACTACGGTGTTACCTCAAAAAGTTAAAAATGGAAATGCCATTTAACCCAGTGATCCCACTTCTAGGAATATATCCTCAGAAGCCTGAAACACCAATCAGAAAGAATATATGTACCCCTATGTTCACAGAAGCACTATTTATAATCACTAAGGTCTGGAAACAGTCCAAGTGTCCATCAATAGATGAGTGGATAAAAAAGCTGTGGTATGGAGTACTATGCAGCTGTAAGAAAGAAAGATCTCTTATCCTTTGAGACGACATGGAAAGACTTGGAAAGTATTATCCTAAGTGAAACGAGCCAAGCAGAAAAAGACAAATACCACATGATCTCACTTATATATAGAATATAATGAACACAACAGTCTGAGGAATAGGATAGACTCAGAGATGTGGAAGTAGGGTACAGAATGACAACCCTCAGAAGAGAGGGTTCAGAAGAGAGGGTTGTGGGGGGGAGGGAAGAGATAAACCACAGAACTTATATGCATGTACGCATAACCAATGGATGTGGACAACAAAGCCGGGGATGAGGAGGAGGGGCTGGGGAGGAGGGTGTCAATGGGGTAAAAAAGGAGAAACACCTGTAACAAAAATAAATTTTTTTAAAAATGTAAAAAAAAAAAATAGATGAGTAGCAAATAAAAATATATCTCCTAAAAATAAAAAAAATAAAATAAAAAAAGCTGTGGCACATTTACACAATTGAATTCTATGCAATTACAAGAAAGAAAGATCTCTTATCCTTTGAGATGACATGGAAGGACCTGGAGAGTATTATCCTAAGTGAAACAAGCCAATCAGAGAAAAGCAAATATCACATGATCTAATTTATTTTGGAATATAATGAACAAAACAAGCTGAGGAACAAAATAGACCCAGAGACGTGGAATTGGGATGCAGACCGACAAACCTCAGAAGAGGTGGATGTGGGGGGAGGGAAGAGATAAACCACAGAACTTATACAGATGTATGTGTAAAGAAGGACGTAGACAATAATGCTGGAGAGGGGAGGATTGGGAGGAGGGTGTCAATGGGGGGATGGGGGAGAGAAACATCTGTAACAAAAATAAATAAATAAAAAGAAAAAGAAAAAGAAACTTCAATGTGAGAAACATCAATCAACTGCCTCCCTCACGCCCCCTACTGGGGACCAGGCATGTACTCTGATGGGGAATCGAACAAAGACCTCTCAGTCCATGGGATGATGCTCAATCCACTGAGCCACACTGGCCCTGCTAATGCTCCATTTCTTAATGTTGGAGTGTCCCGGACCCTGGTCCTTAGTTTCTCATTTATTTATTTTTAATCCTCGCCCAAGGATATTTTTGTATTTATCTTCAGATGGGGGGGGGGCGGTTAGAAATATCGACATGAGAGACACATTGACTGGTTGCCCCCCCCCCCCCCGGCACAAACCTGGCCAGGGCTGGGGACAAACCGCAACCAAAATACGTGCCCTTGACCAGAATCAAACCCGAGATTCATTGGTCCGCAGACTGATACTCTAACTGTTGAGCCAAACTGGCCAGGACCTTGGTCTCTCATTCATTTATACTCATTCACTTGTGATCTTATCCAGTCTCATGGTTTTACATCTAATTTATTTATTTATCTATCTATCATCTACCTACCTACCATGTATATTTCAAGCAATCATTTATTGCCAGGACCCTCCCTGAGGACCATCAGGCTTCCATGTTGAGAATAGACTGTTGAAAGTGATACAGGACAATAAGCCAGGACAAGTGGAATAGGGAAACAGACAGGTAGTTGAACAAACTGACAGAGCAATTTTCAGCAGATATAGAAAGTCACCTCTCTAAAAATAACATCTAGGCCTCAGTTGAATTTCAGCTCCAGAACCAGAAAAGCACCAAAACCAGATGGGCCACACCAGGATCAGCTACAATGACTAATGACACCCTGCCCTGAGTGTTGTCTCTTGGACTGAGAGGTCCCAGTTTGAGTCCAGGTTAGGGTATGTGCTCAGGTTTCAGGCTTGATCCCTGGCAGGAGGCATACAGAAGGCGTGCCGGAGGCATGCACATCAATGTTCCTATCTCTCTCTCCCTTAAAAATCAATGAAAACATATTTTAAAAATAAATAAAACTATCATTTTTTAAAAGTTTGTGATAAAAAAATTAGTTTGTCATTTAATCATTTCTAGTACATTCTGCATCCTATAAAAATAAGTTTGAAATTTAAAAGAATTGTGTTTTCATTAAGTTTGGCATATCTTTTATTGTGCCATGTAAATTCTCTTTTTTGTATGATTACAGAAAGGTTATGATAAAATTATTATTAGTTCGTTTACATTCACTTGTTGCAATTACCTGAGAATTTGAATTTTGTCATGTTTGGGTTTGTTCACTTTTTGAGTGATGGCACAGTTAGGTGAGATTTTCTATTATGGTACCAAAACTCACCATTTGGTCCTCTTTAATCTTTGAGAATTTCAATAAAAATTGTTCACTCGTTAAAAAATAAATAAAAAAGGAATGAGAAACTGAACACAAGCCAAGGTAGTAAAATTAGAAGAAAAGAACCAGCTTTGAGAGAAACCAAGATTAGAACCCAGTGAGTGACTGACTTCATGTTTTGGGTGCGCAAAAACATGGGTTTATAGTTATATCATACCTGATCTTGGGAAATAGTTTGGTGGAGTGCAGGATGAGTTTTCAGATTTGAATTAATTTGCACTGCCTTTGGACAACAAGGCTCAACTCACTGCCCTTCATTACACAATGGGCAAAAGACCTAATCTCGTTGTTTGTTCACCTCTCCCCCCTAAAGCCCATGGGGGCCTAGGTTGGGCTTCCTGGCTCTAGCTCCTTCTGAGTACAGATCAAATTGGCTTTCTTCCCTTACATGCCCTAGTTAAGAACATATCAGTTTCTGGCCCAAATACTCAGACCTTTGTCTATATGCTCCCCTCCCTGCCTGCCTCCTGCCTGTTCTGGTGGGTGAGAAACAAGCCCCTCCCATAGCCTAGTGTGATCTTCATTCCAGGACTCACTCATTCCATGCAGATGACAGGCAGTGGAGGTGGGATAGAGGCAAGAGAGCTACAGCAGCCTCCCAGATGAGTTCCCCAGAAAGATCTCACCATTAACCAAGAGGGAGCAGAGAGGGGGAGATTCTATCATTTACTTTTGACACTCTGTCACATGAGCTTCGTGCTTTTGAAAACATAAAGCACCCCCTCAAGGCGGGAGCACTGCGGCACTTCCCTAAAAAGCTCCTCTCCAGATGTGGCCATATATAGATGTCATCAGTGAATTTTGCCTGTGGGATTCCTGGCCACACCCTCTTGTCGGTACTATCCTCAGGCCCACGGATACCATGAGAAGCCATGATAGAATTCAAGTCAGACCTTTACTTTCAATGTACCTTAGATGAGACACTTCCTTCTCTACTCAAGTCCCTTTATCCACGGCCCAGGGTAGGGCTGGGAGGAGTTGTGTGATATACTGACCCTGCTTATGTGTGGGTTAAAGCTCCTTCCCTATATAGGAAGGACATTTTAGCCTCCCTCATGCCTTCCCTTAACACAGCACAGTGGAGAGAATGAGCCAACAGACAACTCTTTGCTTAGAGATATACACTATATTTTGGGTGGTGCTCTGCCCCACCTGACTATTAATGACGACGACGGTAGCTGTCCTCTTCAAGGGATGCAGATGTTGGGGAGCCTACAAAGTCCTTTGATTGTGCTGGGTCTTCTTGAGCAGGCCAACATTTCTCTCTGAGGTGAGAGTTGAGAGTTAGGGTGGGTACCCAGGTTGGGAGACACAAGCCACTCTAGGACAGTGCCGAGGGCAGTGGCGGGGGTGGCCCAAGCTTGAGGCAGAGGGGGGTTTATGGGAGCAGAAGCGGTGCCGAAGCTTACAGTCTGGGGACTGAGAGCCATCCAAGGAGGCCAGGCCCACCTTCTTCTCAGTGGGGAGCGATTGGGCCTTGGAGTCCCCTCGTGTCTTCTTCTCTGTCTTAGTTTGCTCCACGGGACTTTTGCATGGAGCCAGCCTCTTTGCTACACTTTCTTTTCTGGTGTTGACCACTTTCACAGCTGTCGAAAACATGGATTCCTTGTGCCCTTTGCCTTTGGCCTTGAGGTTTATAAGCTGCAGAAAGGATTTCATCTTATTTCTCAAACCCAATTCTGGAAGGCCGTGAGTATGGGCTGGTATCACCTGCTGCTGAAAAACCTGAACTTGCAAAGTTTGGCCCTGCAATGGCTTATGCTGAATGAGTTGGGCCTGGACTGGCTGGTCCAGTGGTGCCTGGGGCTCCACAGCCTGGGCATTCTTAGGAATCCTTACTTGTTTGAGGCTGACATTGAGCCTGGTTTGACTGTCTAGCAGGTCATTCTTCTTAGATTCTTTGCCCCCAGGGACTCCTAGAGGTAGCTCTGGGGACTTAAGCTGAGGGCAATGCTGGGAACTGTGTTGACAAGGAGCATCAAGTTGAAAGCTATGTTTCTGTGGCCAGGGGCTTTGGGGGGTCCTGTTCAGAAGCATCCTTTCAGGCCTCTGGGCTTTAGCAGGGTGGCTCTTTACTCTTGTTGAGGAGAGCAGAAACCCTGCATCTCCTTCTCCATGGTATCCTGCCAATTTGCTTTTCCCTAGGTCCTCTTTCTTTTCAGCCAGCATGGGGATTTGGGCTGAGTCCTTGCTCTTGCCAGGGCTTTGGGCCTCAGGGCTCCAGGGCTCCTTCAGGCTGGGGTTGTTCGGACTGGCCTCCAACTGAACACAAAGCACCGGGCCCTCTGTCGTGTCTCCAACTGGCTGTGACATCTTGGAGGGCCTGCCGGCAGAACTATGGGGTGCTGCTCTGGAACTAGGTTGTTTCTGGTTCTGCTGCACTGTCTTTAACTCAATGGCCAGCTGTTCCTTAAAGTAGAGACATTTTGAATCTGGGATATGGGGAGCGTCTGGTAGGATGGGCCGTTCCTGGAACAATGTTTTTTCTTGGTTGTTTAGACTCCCAAGAGACTGCTGTGTAGATGTGTTCTCTGGGATTGCTACAGTTTGTTCCCTGGACTCCATCGCCTTTGCGGGAATTCCCCATTGTATCTCTAGGATCTTCCTTCTCAGGTGAAAATTTAGTTTGTTCAAGATGGGCTTGAGTAAGTAGGGCCTAGCAGGCTCTGGCTGGCTTTCTAGAGGCTCCATTTCAACCATTTCTTCCACCTGTGCTACAGGCTGAACCTCATCTGCAATTTCTGCACAAGTCTCATTGGTATCTTGCAAGCATGGCCCAGGACTTAGATGCTGCTCTACAGGTAAGACCATTTCAGTCAGAGGTTCTGTTAAGATCTTGACAGGCTCAGGGACCACCTCTGTGATCGTAGTTTGAGTAGTGCTTGCTTGGGCCATGGCCTTGGAAGAAGGCACATAGTAAAGAGGAGGCAGCCCTGACAAGAAGGCCAGATACTTGTGCCTCAAAGTCATCTCCAGTTTCTCAGTGGCTTCCTTGGACAGGGCTTGGGGTAGCTTAGGATGTTCAGTGACAACATCTAGTGAGGTCTGTTGTTGCTGATCAAGAACTCTCAGCATCCAGGGCATAACTTTCTGTTGTTGGTCAGGGTCGGTTGCTGCCTGTATCACCAGAGGCTTGCTTTCTGCGATGCAGGTGAAGGGAGACATTTCGGGGCCCCTAGGAATGATGCACTCACAAGACCTATACACATGGGCAGGGACCTTGCCTTCATGAATCTGCCCACATTTGGAGTCGATGTGGCTCTGCAGTATTGCCTTGACCTGGTCAAATAAGTGTGGCATGAGGACTGATGCTGGTTCTTTAAAGGGTGAGAAAGAGTCACCGGCACCAGTGGTCTCTGTGTCTGAGGGTGGGAGAACACTCACATTGGCTAGGGCTGTGCTGCTCCAGGATGGAGCCTGCTGATGAGTGGGGGACAGGATCAACTGGAAGGACTGCTGAATCATGTGTGGCAGGCCCCAGCGATGGTGAATCAACTGCCTCTGGAGGTGGAATTCCAGTAGCCTCCGGGTATGCTCGGGCAAGAATATTTCCCTTGAGAGGATGGAGATGGACTTTCTTAGCTGGGAAGTTTTCACAGTCTGAGGAGACTGGGCTGTGTCACAGGACTTAGATAGCACGGGGCTCTGTGTGTGCAGAGCTCTCTGGAAAACAGCTGGCAAAACCCACTGACGCTGGAGCTGCCTCTGCAGCAGGTGCCACTCTAAAGCTTCACACTTGGCCAGAGTCAGAAATGGGACATTGATCAGAGCTTGTTGATGGTCAGATGGCATGATCCAATTTGGGGAAGATGGAGAAGAGTGTGGGGCTGACTGGGGTGGGACTTTAGGCAGCAGAGGGGTGGAGGAGATCCCCTTGAAAAGAAAAGGATCCTTCAAGGGGTGCTTGGACATGCTCCTGTTTGTGGAATGAACTTGAGAGCCCAAAAAGGTGTCAGCCAGAGACTCACTGTGCAGAAAAGGGAGGCCACAGAATAGCTGGATAGATTTCTGCTGTACATGACCCATTGAGTCATTCGGCTGTTGCCCAGGAAGTGGATAGAGGCCACTTAAGTCTTTAAGGGCTTGAGAGGGGAAGGTTAGAGCCACATGGTTTGGATTTTGCTGGTAGTAGTGTCTTCGTATTGGGTCCATAATGGACCATTCAGAAACCCAGAATGCTTGGATAGCCTGGCCAGCCATATATGATCCCCAGGTCTGGTGGGAAATTGTTGCAAATTTCTCTACAGAGAATTCAGCAATATCATTTTGGATGAGGGAAACTGGTTGGTTGTTTACAGGTTGGTAAAACAGTAATGGGTTTGGTATAAGCTGCCTCAGGGACTCCTCTACACGTCTGGGCAGCCCCCACCTCTGGAAATGCATCCATTTTTTTACATGTACCTCAAGAAGCTGCATGACTTCAGGACTGGAGAATGGCAGAAGGGTGGGGAGGATAGTGACCATAGGCAAGGCCATAGAATGTGTCAGGGTAGTGATTTCTTGGTTCAGGGTCAGCAGAGAGACCTGGGGATACAAGGGCTGCTGATCTTGGTTCCCATACACATGGTTGAGGTTGTGTTGTATAATCTCCTGCTGGTTCACTGGAATCCTAGGTCCCTTGAAGTTTGAAGAAGACATAGCCTTATGGACCTTGGGCATTTCTGTCACTTGAAATTTCTGTCCTAGCTGGACATTTTCAGCCCAGTAATCTTGCATACTCTCTGAATCAGTTGATTCACCAGCTGACTGGGTAACAGTCCCAGATAAGGATTTCTCAGCTGTTAATTTTGACACTGTGTGGGTTGCAGATGGAAGTGAAAACTCTTGAGAGCATGTGGAATGATGCTCCAGACTCTGCTCAAAAGACACATTGGACTTGAATAAAATCTCTAGGCAAGGGGAGGCATCTGATGGCCCTGGTAAAGTGGCAGAGATCAGGGTGTTCTCACCCACCAGCAACTGCTGGATCTCCAGAGCCATGGCATTGCAGATTTGGCAGTAGGTATCTGCACACAGGAGCTTCCGCACACTTCCATCTTGAGGAAGCCAACCCTGGCTGGAAGAAGAAACATGGCAACTGTTAATGATGGAGTGACATGTGCCTCTTTGGAAGTTGTTGCCTGGAGATTGGCCCTGCCCTCCTTGGTTCAGTACACCCTTCCCCACTCACCCCCAGTGTTTATTCCTCTACTTTTCTTTCTAGAAAAATGCCATCTGACATATTATGGTGTGCTGGGTTGAGAAACTGGGGCTTGTTAACAAGGTCTAACAAACCATGGGAACACAGGGCCATAAGCGACTGGGAGGTGCATAAGTTTTCTGCTGACCTGGGCTGAGAAGCTCAACCAGAGATGAAAACAAATGATGGGGGAGCTAATGGTTAGCTGATGGGGCATCACCAGGGCCATCACCAGGGCCATTACCAGGTAGAACCTGAATTCGGTTTCATTTGGGGGTAAGAAGGCCATAGCCCACAGCCTGGTATTTAGTATTTCCATGCTGTGGAAAATGAGGTCCTGTGGAAACTCTGCTTTCTGGGGACTGTGAGGTGTACATAATACCTCTTGGGAGCCATTCTCATTCTCTAGAGCTTTAAAAAGAGGATGAGATGATAAGCTCCTGGCTGAGAGCTGTCCTAGGAACTGAGGTCTCTGAAGACAGAACCGGAGGAGGTAATGTCAGCAGGGTTTAGGGCTCTGCCCTTGAAAGGGTGTAGCTGTAAGAATATGACAATGACGACTTATTTATCTATTCTCTTGGCTAGATAACTTGCCTTGTGGTTGAGTGCAAACCCATGTAGGGTCTTTTATGAATTAAGTACTAGTCAAATTCTAAATTTCAGGAGCACTGTGAGCTTATCCCAGAGCAGAACCGGGAGACTCCTCCCTCCTGAGATGTCTGAGCCCCATTTGCTCTGGCAACCCTCTCAACCAGTGGTCCGGCCTTCACTGTGTTTGACTCCCTCCCAGCCATCATCCCTCTCCTCATCCCTGTCCCAGGCCAAGCAGAGAAATCATCACAGTCCAGGCTGGAGTTGGGAGACTACAAAGAGCAAGTGATCACCTTTTCATGACAGAGAGCAGCTCCCATGGCTTCTCAGTTTCTTTGCAGGAATGTCTCCTAGCTGAGAAACCAGGAGACAGTGTTACATGGAATGAGAGAAGATTCAGGGACATTCTACAGGAAGCTGAAGGCCTTTGAATAAGAAGAGCCTGAAAACCCCAACAGTCATTGCTCTAAGGCATGTCTGCGTACAACTTAACCAGTTACAATGTGCTATCCAGGACCTAATCTCATTAGATCTTCACAACCACACTGAGTGAGGCAAGATCTTCAGGTGCCCATTTTGTGGATAAAAGACTGAGAGAGGAAGTAACTTCCACAGGGTCATAAAACTAGTAAATGGCACAGCGAAGGACTTCTGCCCTACTTTGTCATTCTTCATTCCTCGGGGTAAGGTGGAGGATTTTGAAACATGTCCAGGCTCTGATTTCCCACCCAAGAAAGTCTCCTAGGAGAATTTGTCAACTTGTGGGATTGGAATTTTTAGTGGTTAGAGTACCTGTCCCTGGCACCAGAGGTCAAAGGGGGACAAAATCAATGGAAACATTGCCTACGTTGGAGGGGATTCAGAGAAGAGACTGGAACTTTACCTCTTGATGCTGCATCTTTAGCCATTTGCCTGAGTTTTGGGTGACACTTAAAGACAAAAAAAGTTAGAGTGTGAAGCTGGGACACCATGTTCTATTTCATGTTCATAATGAGACAAAACTAATATAAATTTTCAAATCCCTGCCCCGGTGTGCCTCAGTGGTTGAGCCTTGACCCATGCACCAAGAGGTTACCAGTTCGATTCCTGGTCAGGGCACATGCCCAGGTTGTGGGCTAAATCCCCAGTGGGGGGCATGAAGAGGCAGCCAATCGATGTTCTCTCTCATCCATGTTTCTATCTCTCTCTCCCTCTCACTTTCTCTCTCTCTAAAATACACAATAGAAAAAAATTAAAATAATTTTTTTTCAAATTCCTTTCTATGTATGTCTGTATTTAATACACTCACATTTCTTTCCTCTACTCTACCCTTTTCACTCCAACATTTCATTATTCTACTTATTTCTCACTTACTTCAAGGCTCTCCATATTCTTAAGGGGGCTAATCATGACACAGGAAGGGCAGTGGAATAGATTAATTGGTAATTGTGATTAATTCTAAGAGCCCTAGAACATTTTCTTACTAAGTCCACCAATCAGAAGAAACTCCCATATTGGGATGTCTTTCGAGATTCGGTGAGGTAAAATCCATTTCATCTAGGTATCAACCCAAGGCAGATAGAGAGGTTCTTGATTTTTCAATTAGAATACATTGCAGGGACCACTAGGTCAGAAATTACTTCTAATCTTTGAGAAAATTACCATATTTGAATAACTGAATGTATGGCATAAAAATTGGCAAGAAAGATAAAAAGAGCCTGAGATCTTAAGCCTCTTATCTAAGACTTAATTAATTCAATTGTGGTGTTAATGTTTCCCTACCAAGCAGAAGCTCATTTTAGGTCCCAATCTTAATCCATGGTAACTCCTTTTCACTAGCCAGATAATTAGGATAATAATGAAGATGGTGCCATATGCATATAAGAAATATCCAACATTCCAAGGAAGAAAAGTAAAGCTCAGCATGGTTTAAAACTCATTAGCAAGAGGAGACCAGCCATCACTCTATCTAGGCTTTCAGGAGCCTAGTGCCTAACGACTCCCAATGTTACGCCTTGTCGTCTCCACCTCACAGAGGATGGAACCCTATCACCAGACTACATCACAAAGCCCTTCTGCTTCACAAGGCAGGTGTTGAGTAAAAGTCTTTTATCTGTTTTAGGGAAGCTGGTGTGGTGATTCAGTTTGTCGATGAGGGTGTCTGGTTTCTGTAAAGGTTACAGAGCCAGAGATTCAACGTGCTGGCTCACAGCAGTGTCTATGCTTCTACTTTGTGTTCATTCTCCACACTCTACACCAACCAATGACTTGCCTCTCTTCTTCATGACAACCATCTGGTCACCCATTCCCAGAAAACCGAGTGTTTAGGGACACAGGGTACCTCTTGAGGAAGAGAGACAGAGGAATCTTTACCAACACCTCCACTTGTACTGGAAATGTATCTGAGAAGCACACACAAGTTTATGAAGGGCAGAGCCTAGTTATGGCTTGGAAATGGAGAGCTTTGATGTTATAGGCAATGGTGATGGGAAATTAGAGGTGCATAAAGGGGACCATGGCTGATGTGGCAGGGAAAGGCCAAGGTAGTAGTATCTTTAAATTTATATATGTGGGAGAAGTGAAGCCTTCATTGTGGTGGGAAGAGATTTTAAACACTGCTTTTAATGAAGGAAATTAATTTGGCTCACTTCTGGAGCACTATCCAATTTGTTGTTGTTGTTGTTGTTGTTGTTGTCCTAGAGCTGCCTCTACCCATGTGACAGCATTCTGCTTGGTTGTGAAGATGACTTCCTGTAGAAAGAAGTGACCACTTCCAATTAAGAGTCACAACTTAATTGATGCTTGTGAACTTATATATTCTCTGCATATGTGCTGTTTAACTGAGGAGTTTTTGTGTTTTTTTAACCGGATTTTGGTAACTTTGGAGAGAGACTTCTTTTTTCACAACAAGCCCCAGGACCTGTCACTCCTATACCTTGACTATTGATTTAGCCATTATGTTACCTGCTTAGCCTCTGTGGATATTATGATATAACTCCAATATCCCAGGATTTCCGAATTTATTTGAGAGCATTTTACTTTGGTGATAATGGTCTAACAGCCCAACTTCATTAGGCTCAAACTCTCTTAAGAAGTTATTTTGGTTCTTCCTCCAGCATCCAGTCCTCCTCCCAGCTAAGCTCTCAATCGGTGCTTATCCCTGAGCTGGGCAGTGTCAATGGGACAAATATATTTGAGTCATGTTGCCTTCCTGCTCTCAAAACACTTAACTCTTGGGTTTCCAAGGTAAGACTGATTCACGCAAAGCAAGAGCCAACAATCTAGAACAAATAGAATTATAGCCCTGGCTGGTTTGGCTCAGCGGTTGGAGCATCGGCCTGCAGACCAGAGAGACCTGGATTCGGTTCCTGCTAAGGGCACGTACCTCAGTTGTGGTTTGTCCTGGCCCTGGTTGGGGTCGTGTGTGTGGCAACCAGTCAATGTGTCTCTCTCATATCGATGTTTCTCTCTCTCTCCCTCTCTTTCTTTCTCCCTCTCTTCCTCCAGCTTTATCTAAAGATAAATGCAAAAATGTCCTCTGGTGAGGATAAAAAAAAAAAAAAGAATTATATATTCATTTGTGAGGCTCATGTCACAAACATCTGGTTTCAGAGAAGAGAAAGTGTAGTGAGGATCAGGATGGTCAGAGAAGGCTCCTGAGCAAAGTGACATTAGAGTTAGGCTGTGGAGCAAAGAAGCATGTCCCAGGTGGGAGAGAAACTTATCAACATGCAGAACACTTATCAACATTTGGCAGTAAGAAATGCAGTCTGTTTTTAGCAGACATTTAAGTGTGTGGATTGGAGAGGACTTGTGAGAAAGATTGGAGGTGCAGAGGTGAGGCCTCTTAATGAAGGGTAGTGCATTTACTTGATTTCAACCACTGAAATTAATTGTTTTTATAATAAGTAGGCATAAATATACATGGTACAGAATTCAAAAGGCAAAAGAAGGTATGTACTATCTCTTTCCCACCCTTGTCTTCTCTTTTGCTTCCCCATGTTATCATTCAAAATTAATTTAGCATAAGAAGCATAAATAAACCGATATATTTTCTGCATAAATGAAAAGGTGTGATAGATCTGTTTTCTCTCTTGTTTTATTTGATTTTATGACTATATCTTGGATATATAATTTTCTTTGAGCTAAGGGTCTTCTTTGATAAAACTTCAACACATTTTGTCTTCAGTCCCATATTCATGGATATTTAGTTGTTTACAACCTTTTGCTCTGAATAATGTTGATGCAAACTTCATGTATATAAGTCCTTGTACACAAGTGTAAATATATATAAAATTCCTAAGAGTTGAATTGATGGGTGAAAGGATGTGACTATTTTTTTTAAAGGTTTCTTTTTTTTTTTAATCTTCACCCAAGGATATGTTTTTATTGATCTTTTGAGAGAGAGAAACATTGATGTGAGAGAAAAACACCAATCAATTGCCTCCTGTACACACCCCAACCAGAGATTGAACCCGCAGCCAAAGTATGTGTCCTAACCGGGAATCAAATCCGCCACCTTTTGGTGTACTGAATGATGCTCCAACCAACTAAGCCACCTGGCCAGGGTGGGTGTGATTATTTTAAATATTGAGATTGTCTGTTTGCCCCACCAACTGTATAAATTTTCACTCTCACCCAAACTGTGTAAGGGTACCTCTCTTCCCATACTTGTTGATTCAATATTATCAAATTATTTATCTTTGTCAACCTGAGTAGTGGTAAATTGTATCTTGTATATTTACAAATTTGTTTTAAGGTAGGCTAAAATCCCCTTATATGTTTGTTTCCTTTTCTGTTAAATATATGTTCCTACTCTTTGCCCACAGATTATTGATCTTATATTTATTACTTTATAAGTGCTTTTTTTTTCTATTTTAAAGCACTCACTATTTATTAGCTGACCAGATTACATAAATAACCATGGTAGATACCTTAGTTCATTTTCCTAATAAGCCTGTTGACCTGGTCTTCCCTCTTACCAGCATCTCCACCTTCTACTAAATAGTTAAATGAATTGATCTACAAGCATAGTTATGGCAAAATCAACAACAAAAAAACCCTAATTGCCCTGATAGATAACACAGTGATTGCTTGATCTCTTAGTGAATATGGCATCATCTGCATAAAGGATCTGATTCATGAGATCTATAAGGTTGGAAAATGCTTCAAAGAAGCAAACAACTTCCTGTGGCCCTTCAAATTATCTTCCCCATGAGGTGGAATGAAAAAAAAAACAAACACACACCCATTTTGTATAAGTGCTTTCTAATATTTAAAAAAATTATCCCTTTTTATATGTATTGCAAATGTTTTTATTAGTTTATTTGATGTTTATGGTGATTTTTTCCATGTAGAAAATTTTGCATTTTATGTAGTTGAATTTATTAGTTTTATTATTTGTCTTTTATGTTATGGCTGCTGTGATTTAAGAAAACGTACAAAGATTTTTTTCCCTCTCTGAAGTTATAAAAACTTTTCCCCAATTCTTCAGGTACTCTTGGTTTTAGATTTTATGCTTATACCTTTGTTCCATTTAGAATTTATTCTTGAGTAGTGAGTGAAGTTGGTATCTTATTAGTTAACAATTGTTTTCAAGTACATGCAACAGATTTAACTACAAAATAGGGTTTCTTGGGGGCTTTTGGAGTCTGCTATGACAAAGGAAAGCTGGAAATAACATTGTTCAAAAAGTAGGAAAAAAACTTTAAAGATACTAAAATACAAAGCTTTTTCCTTTTCACTACAGTTTCTTTCTTAATTTGCCCTGATATTTTTTAATTGACTAGTGTTATTCTAAGTTAAGAAAAATTAAAACTTTAAATAATCAACCTGAATTTTATTTTTCATCTTTGTATTGTGCAATGCCCATTTTAAATGTAAATTCAGAGCATTTAACTTTTATGAAGAATCACCAATATTTCCTAATTCATATTTTATAGTTAACTCATGCATATGTACTTCATTCTTACCAGAACAGTGGAAACACTACACAAAATTAACTCATTTATTTTTATTTTTGTTCTTGACATGTACACATGTAGCAACATTGTACGAAAGTCAGTGGTTTTCATAATATGCTTACCTTGTATACTCACTTTGAGTCTTGAACAATTCCCACACATCATGAGTCCACCAGAATTCTGTGTTTATGGGGATACTACAAGTGCTCTATATGAATGGGGCAGCAAGAAATGGCAGACATACACAAGCATGTATCTCCTCTGCTCTTGCACATTCCAATATCCCATCAGATACCACTTACAAAATACAAGTTCAAAGATAAATTACACTCCACACACAAAAGTTTATTCTATTTCAGAGGTATGGGTAACTGCAAATCCATTCAGGGATACCCTAGGAAGTCCATGCAACATGGTTAAGAAACAAGCCTGGATCCTGCCAAAACCATGGGCCACAGCTCAGAGATAGGGGTCCCTAGCAAAGTCAGAGTCCTTCATAATCTGTGAAGTTACAGCAAAGACCTCCTATGCTACTCTCAGGTGTACCTAAATAGAATAACAGTTAAGAGTAGCTTCTTTGGCCCTGGCCCGTGTGGCTCAGTTGGAACACCAAAAGTTCACTGGTTTGATTCCCAGTCAAGGTCATACACAGGTTGTGGGTTCGATCCCCGAGGATTAAGTGGGATTTTGTAAAATAAGAGTTTAGCACGGTGCCTGGCACAATCGGTGGCTATAATGGAAGAAAAAAATATGATAAACACAAAGCTAGGAGTACCCTACTGAACACCTCTTCTGGCCTCTCTGACTGCTTGTTTACCTAGCTCCTCATTCTTTCACTTGGAAGAGGGTGGAGTGGGCAACAGGAAAAAATGGAAAGCATAAAAATTTGGTAAGTTGAAAGTAAAACTGTCACTATTGTAAGGTGATATGAATGTATACCTGAAAAACACAAGGTAACTCAAA